GTTCTTATCCCAGGGGAGGGATGAAAAGGAATGTTGGATAGTGGATCAGGCGATTGGCCCCTTTCTTTGTCCTCGGGAGCTGAACTGGGGAAAGCTGCTGATTTAATAACACAGGTTCGGAGAAAGCAACGTGCTGCAGGAAGAGGATTGAGGAATGATGAGATGTTTTGGACTGGATGTAAAAGGAGACTCGTCCTGCCCTGTGTGCCTGAGGACCAACTATGAGTCAGATGCTCTCTAGCTGTGGTTAGCAGCAGGTTGTTCCTGCACTGATAAGCCTCACCGAGAGCTAAGCATAGCCGCACGCTGGTGTCGCGTCCCAGCTCTGAGCGTGCACCTACCTGTGAAAAGCGTGGTCATGTCGTAGGGAGCTCAAGGGTAGCACCCATGGGTGCTGTCTCAGATAGAGCTCCAGCAAACACTGGTCAGAATGAGCTTATCTTCCACCGGAGTAGAAACTCTGTGTGCCTGGATTTCAACACATCAGTGTTGAATTTAGATGTGCCTTTCTGTTAAAGTAATGGGAGTTTCCCCGGTTTTTGATTCACGTTATATGTTGATTCACGTTATATATGACACACTGCGCTCTGCCACTGACGTACTGGAGCGATACTGGGTTATATTTATACCCAGTGCCATTTCAGCTTTGAAATCACCTTGTCATCACTCAGCATGGACCGGGTGAGGCGTGCCTGCTATTTTGGGGAGGAAAAGGCTGTCTTCGCAGTTTCTGTAAGGGGCGTAGCATCTCTCACATGTTGGCATTGCTTCTGGCTTGCGTGCGTGCTGTGTATCAGGTCGCACACGAGCATTGGGGTGGTGACAGAGTTGCGGTTGAGGTCTTGGGCAATAGATCTCGTAATGTGTATGTCCCTTGGACGCTGCAGAACTCCCCCTGGAAGTGTTTGCCTTGGCACTGAGCTTGCCTGAAAAGGTCTGATGCGTGTGCAGTATGGGGAGAAAAATCAACAATTGCAAAGGATAATCTGTGGGCAAACTGTGGAGAGCAAGCAGAGCGCGTTCCCTTGTGTGCCAGCATAGCTGGCAATGCTGATGCCCGAAGTTTCACATTTATTTCTGCTAAAAAAACCAAAAAACCCCCCACAAAAACCAAACCCTTAACAAAGCTTTCAGCCAGACCCTTTGAGAAAATGTGTTTTCTTTACCTGTATCCCCCAAAGTGGCGTTGCTAGCAGGCTTGGCGTAGAGGCTGCATACCCTAACGTACTCGTTACAATTCTTCTGCGGCCAATTTGGTAAAAGATGCCGTGGCTTTGTGCTGAGCTGGACGTCTGCCTCCTCGTGCAGTGAGACTTCTCTGCTGGGAGAGGGCCACAGGGACAGGCACTGGGGCTGTCAGTGTCGCAGCTCTAATGGATATTGAGAGGGGGATTTGAAGAAGAAAATAAGATCATGCAGGATTAATGAGGAAGAGCATCCTATGGAGGACTAGTGAGCCAAGTTATTTCAGTCTTTTCGGTCATGGGTGTTGGAAAACTTACTCGGGCCTTTGTGTTTCCTGGCAGTTTTGTTGCATTTAGCTTTTGTAGTAGCAAATTATGCTTCTTCCTGCCTCGGGCCCTCTTATTGCCTGGCCTTGGGACCTCTCTGGGGCATGGCCTGTCTCCTCTTGCACTGACTCCTCACTCAGCACATCCACGTTGCCGGGGAAATGTGTTTTTCTGTGTATTTTGGTGATGATGGAAGTGGTGAGCATTCAGAGATCCAGGCTTTGACAGGACTGCATACCAGAGAGACGGATGCTAGGAAGGATTTTGAAGGACAGAAGTTGAAAGCATCAGCAAATCCTGTGGCTCCTAATATTGTCTGATTGTTGGTGCTGCACAACTGGCTGGGCTGAGCAGTATATTTTTGTAATTTCTGTGAAGAATAGCATTAATGGTGCCATTGATAGAAACTGCACCACTGAGCCAATGAATTTGGTTTAACCTTGCTTTTGTTTTTTCCCTGAGTTGATGCTAACCTTTGGCAAAACCATGGCAAAACTTCAATTTTTTTTGTCTTTTCCTTTCTTTTCCAACTTTTTGGTACTTCTTTTTTTTCAGATATGAATCTTAATGCCCAGTATTGTCTATTAAAGACCTGTCTGAGCCCTTGGGTCTCCTTTCTGCTCAAGTTGTCAGTTATTTGTGCCATCGTGAGTCTGCAGGAATGAGTCAGCATCTTGCTTCAGACCTTCAAAATCTGCTTGTAGGGAAGGTCAGCCAAAAATTCTGCTACTTGTTGCACCACGTGGAATTAGCCAGAACCATGCCTCTCTCAGTTCAATCACTGGTTCATTTAATTGTGTTCTTATTAATGGGATAATTGTAAAAACCTAAACCACCCAAACTTGAAACCTCTAGCACTTATTTTTATTTTTCTAAGTCATTAGGTAATTGGTTCAACTGCTAGCTATTGTTAGTGTGATTACCTGAACTGGCTCTTGGTTCATAATGACACTCAAGAAAGAGCTATTTGGGATAAACCAGCCAAAGAATGTCAACAGGATAGGCTTTTAATTTTACGCAAAATATGTTGTTCAGATTGCGTTACTGGCATAAACATTGTCACATTTCCCACGAGCAGTTCTAGGCCTCTTGGTGATCAGCCCAGCCATCGCCCCGCTCCTCGGTCTCTGCTCGCGTGAAGGACTGCGTTGCTCGGCGTGAGGAAGCAGATGTTAGGCTGTAGTCACCAATAATGGCGTGACTTACTGGCTAGCGATGCCCAGAAATATCCTTCCCACAGTTTTTCTTTGTATATATGGAAGTAATAGGATTTTTTTTTCTTCTTTTTCCATCATCTAGTTCAGTGACATTAACCTGAGACTTCTCTGTTTTAGTGATTTATACGTTCTGGCCGGGACCAGCGGTACAGTCAGTTCTCAGGTCTGCAAAGCTTGTTCCTTGTTGGCGGAATTAGCGAAAGGCAGAAAGTGCCTGCTGCTTTATGGGTTTTTTCTTCTTCCTTATCTTTTTTTAGCTTGTCAATGACAAGCCAACTGCTAGCATTTATGGGAATAAATCTTGACTAAAATAATTTGCATTTAAAATGCAAATGAATGGAAGCGTCAGCAAGGAGCCTTCTGCTTTCTGCCTGGTGCGCAGCCGGGGTACTGGCGTTGGATCAGCCTGGAGAGGCACTCGCTGTAAAATAAAGTTAATTGGACTAGCTGAAAAATGGAATGGGCTCAGCCTCATGCTAATTCCTGGGCCTGTGATTTAATATGACATTGGAGACGAAGGATTGGGAAGGTGCTGAACCACTGACTAAACCAATCACCGGAGCTGTAAATTACACTTCTGAGATTCCCAATGGCAGCTTGAGAGGCTCGGATAAAATTGCAAGAGGTGAATAAAACCGAGCTTTGAAGCAATTTGTCAGGATCTTCCGGCTCGCATGAGTTAGAGTTTAAGTTTCATTGTTCTTTTTTTACAAGCTGTCTGTTGTAACACTGCCTGGTGTCTTGGGTTTCGTGGCAGGGGTTTGGTAGCAGTGGGGGCTACA